TATTTATGAAAAATATTAGTATAACACTGATTTTATATAATACTGATAAGTATACATTATAGATCGAGTATATCAGAAGAAAATTCGGAATATATCGTTTAGCATATATTTAATTATATATAGTTTAATAACATATTAAAAATAAGATTACGAAAAAAATAAAGAATAAATAAATATCGTATGTGTGTTACGTGTAAGTACGAACAATGGAGAATTGTTCAATATAGTATTTGTACATAGAGAAAAGGACAGACACAATAAATTAATGCTATCTTATAGAAGCTTAATTTAAAGAAATTTAAAGGGTATACATAAAATCTCGTTCACACTAAATTCTTTCGATAGCACGAACCTCTCTATTACAGTCAACACGTTCACCTCGTCTTCCCTGGGAACAAAATAGTGGGTTATGAAATCGAATAGGTTATTAAAATTACTATTGGTTTATTATTTTATTAAACTTTTTCTGAAAAGTTAAAAATGATAAAGATATATGAGAATTGCGCGTACATTACATTACAATTACATGTATCAATTTCTTTTTTCAAAATACTCAACTAAATTACTGTTAAAAATATAGTACGTGAAACTTCAAATTATTATATAATCATCAAGCATGTATTTGCAAATTTGTGATATTTTTATCTTAACTGTTTTGAATCTGAATCTGAATAATGAAATATATTTTATCTATTCAATAAATTATAATAATTTTTAGAATTTGTATAGTTTCAAATTTTTTTTAAATATAATTCCAACTCAATATAATTATTAAATATATATATTATATACATAAAGAAATAAAAAAAATGAAAACCGAATATAGAAAAATTAATATTCATTCTAAATATTCGAATCGTGATTAATCGTTAAATTATTTTTAACTCATTATCATGTTTTAAAACAAAATATTTTTCATTTTTATGACAGTAATATTTATATCACTTTTTTATATTAATTAATAATATTTTGGCATGATAAGTCCAATAATAAGTTTTTACATCATTTCAATCTCGAATTACGCTTACCTTTTGGCCTTTTTCAACAAATCGTCGCCACCTTCGAGAAATTTTTTCAGTGTGTTTGGAATTCTCGAGTCTACCGCCGAAACTGCGATTATATCACCACCATGAACAAGTTGTACCCCTAAATGTTGAGGACCACCATTTTTACCAGTGAATTGCACAAACCTATTGAAAATAAAGCATATATAATAAATTTTATGATAAAATTATCTGTTATTTAAATAACATAAAGATCAAAAAATGAATATTTTTTAAAAATAAGAATTATACAATAATGTATGCGAGGATTGTAATAAAAAATCGCATATTATTGTTTTATTTAATATTTATTATTATTTTTTCAAAATTTAATATATATTTTATGTATATAATAATATTTAAAATGATATAAAAAAATTTTGTTAATGAAAAAAAAAAAAAAAGTTCGTTTTAAATCAAAAATCTGGAAAACAAAATGATGAAGAAAATATAATCCGAAAATTATTTTGTGATATAAAAAACAGAATTTATATAATCCATTATATGAATTTTTATAATTAAGTGAAAAATATTATACAATAAATATAATAAATTTTTAAGAATAAATAATAATCTAAATGATAAATTTAATGTGAAATATTTAATTTATTAAATTTATAAACTTATAAGTAAATATAAATAGCAATGAATTATAAATAATAAATAAATATCTGATGAGCCAAATTAATATATTTTTAATATATATTTAATATTGCTTAAATACAATTTTTCTACTTCATTATTACTTATTATTAAAAAATAACGGAAAAATTACTTTTTCAAAAATAAAATAAAATAAATAATAAATTAACTAAATAATAAATGAACTAAACAATAAATTATAAATATATTAAAATAATAATAAAAATTATGAATTAAATTTAGCTTATTAATTTTTTAAACTCATTTTAAAAATATATTCTTGTTGGATTTCGAACGAGAAATTTTAATACAAAATTAATCAAAAAATTAAAATACACAACATTATATACATATTTAAGATAATGATAACATTGGCAGAAAATCATTACAAGAAGATTAATCAGAAATTGAAATTAATAAAAGTAGAGTTTTTAAAAAAATTGATTAAAATATTAATCAAATTAAAAATATCTGAATTATAAATCATAGGAAATAGCATTTAAAGATTTATATTATAAAATCTATTATTAGAATATCAATTATCTTCATCGCTTGATTAATGATGTAAATACAATTCAAATA